GAGAACATACAAAGTAGCCTGCCCTGGGGGTGGGGGAGGAGAGAACATACAAAGTAGCCTACATGCAGTACAAAAGAACAGAAGGAAGATGCTAGTTTTAGTAGAGGTTTTACGGCACTCGCAACTGCATAAGGTCATATGAGCGCCGGAAGATAAGAGGCGTTACAAGAGAGTAGCAAACATAAAAAAGAAAGAGGGGAGATAAGGACGATAGATGTTTGATAGGAAAGAAGAAGCAAACCACACCAGAGCACCCGCCAACAACCCACGAAGGAAGACGTTACGTATCCTACCACAGCGATAAGATCCTTGTTCAAGTCACAACTCCTGAATATTTCCTCATGGACGGTCCGCTCAGGAAGCTCCACGTCTGGTAGGGGACTTCTCACAATATTATCCGGAGACACTATCTGAATAGGGGTGGACCCCGAGGAATATTCCCTGCATCCATAATTTTGAGATCCAGCGGCTGTTGGATTGGAGACACCGTGAAAGTTTCCGTGGAGGCTCCCAGTAAATGAAGCTGGTGCATGGTTGCCTTCGCAGAACTGCTGCCTCGAGATCCTCGCCAAGCTACGAAGGACGAGGCTGCGCATGATTTCCTCTACACTGGACGCTCACTTACAACAGGGAATTCTGAATGGTAGACTGTGGAGTGGGCAGACAGGAAAAGTCCTTGAGAATCAATTCTGGAACATAAATATATAGATGCATAGGGTCTGAGTTCATATATGTAGGCCTACGGTATATCATATAAAATAAAGCACATATAAAGCTATTGAGTGGAAAAATCCTTGAGCATCAATTCTGAAACATAAATATATAAATGCATAGGACCTGAGTATGGTATATCATATCCATACACAGCCTACATACAAAACTTTTGAGTGGAAACTTGTGTAACATTCTGATAAATTCTCTTCAGAACAGGACATTTGAACAGTAGGCTAAGCTATGAGAACGTAATATTATGGGTATAAAAAAAAGTGTATACCAATATTTGCAGGCCTTTTCTTAAATTCTATTAGCACATAGTCTCAGTGCAAAAGTTATCATTTGAATAACTGATAAAAATAAGTTAGCTTGCAAAAAAGTGTAAGTCCTGCATTAATGTTGTACGTGAACTCATTAATAACTCAAACTTACAACATTAATGCAGGACTTATACGTGAACTCATCAATAACTTGATTTCAGAAAAGCAAAAACAACCTTTTTTTAAAGCTCCAGATAAAAGAAGCATACACCGTGAATTAATAAATAAAAGTGAGTAATCCCCCCCCCCCCAATCCACGTTTGAACATAATAATAAGGGATGGGATAAGAACATATAAATGTTTATTTTGCACCCCACGCTCATAAAGTCATAATATAGGAGCCTTCAAAGCTGCGCTACACGCTCATAAAGTCACACAGGTGCCTACAAAGCTGCACTACACAGCATTAGAAAGCCGCGTCTGGACGTCACTGCTATTCACACAAGCTGACACAATGAGTAAACAAATATCAATGAATACCAATATCATGTTATAATTCCCCAAATACGTTACATATCGCAGAAGTTTTGAAAGTGTGTCGCGGGCATGCGTGTGTGTGTGTGTGTGTGTGTGTGTGTGTGTGTG